TCCTAGATGTGTTCCTGATAGAGCACAATAGTACAGTGATTTCCCTATGTATTCCTTTGACTTTAGTCTTACAAAGCCCAAATGTGTCTAGAAACAAATTCTGCATTTTTCAATCAACAAGCTACCAGTGGTTCTAACTTACTTCCTAGAACCCTTAGTTTTGCAGATATTTTTGAAGGGCATCTCCTAGGCCAAAATAAATAGTAGTGCCACTTACTGTTTAGGTCTAAATGTTTTAAATAGTACCTAAACATTAAAAATTTTTAAATTGCATCCTTATAATTACTAATTCGGGTATATCTATTGGCCACTAAGCAGCTTATTATACTTTGCAATCATAAATCAGATTGGATACTACTAATTTCCTGTTCCACATGAAAATTCACATGGTGCTTGCTTTCTATCAGTGTCAATAGCTCAGAAATAACAAGTAAAACTAATGAATCAGTTAAGTATAAATTAGTAAAGGTTTATTGTGCACACAACAAAAAGACAGTTTGCAAACTGGGAGCACTCAAACCAAAACATGGAACGAGGCCAAGGGTATGTTGTTAAAAAGCAGTTTATATAGTGGAAGAGCAGTGACTTAATAGTGATTTGATTTTATGAGAATTTTCATAGATAGGGAACTGGTCAGTGATTACCTCACATCAACCTTCAGAAACTGTTAAGTTTCCAGAGGCAGAAGCAAGGAACAACACAGGTCAAGTTAATCTTGCAAAATAAGCTAAATTAAGCTTTACTTATATAACTTAACTGGTTTTGTCTGCTCAGGGAATTTTCAAGGCTGGTCTCCATTTTTTTTTTAACAACAGCAATCTCAGAAAACCTAGCTTCACAAATACATGCTGCTTCTAAAATAGTGTAACATCACCCAATGTTGAAACTGAACATAAGTTCCAGTGGTTTCTAACAGATGTCAGGTTCTGAGTTCAGAGGTGGCCCAGGGCATCTCAGCTGACAGCTTGGGAACTTTGGGTCTATAGGTATTTAATTCTGTCATACCACCATCTACATGAAAATACTCAAATGAATTCAGCCTTAATGCTCTTTTGATACTTAATAAGAAGCCTATAAAATCTGTTAACAAACCTCAATTTACATTTCTCTGCACTAACTCCTTAAGACTTGAATGTTTAAAAGAATATTGTCAATATAAATTAGTATTTATGACTGTCATACAAATTTTGTGACATTTCTGGTTAGTAGATCACATTAAATTCAACATGAAATAATCCAGGGCAGTGATTCTAAAGCACTAATGATGGAAATTTGTTAGCTTTAGGTTTGGACAGAAAAGGGGTTAAGAACCATTGGTCTAATGGACTGTGTATGTTAAAAACCTCTTTGGCTATCGGTATCAGCTCCTCAGTTAATTATCCACTGATTACCTTCAAAAACAGTGTAATGAAGGGCTTTGAGTATTGTCTTCAAGGGTGCTCACTTAGCCCACTGGCTAACAGAGTTCACTGTTCCAGACACTTGTGGGACCTTGTGGATAAAAGAGAGTTCCTGTGGCCAGGATTCTCACCTGGTCCTGGTTGACTAGCTCACCGCACACCTGTGGGCAATACATGGCTGTTGACTCTATATAAAGAGCTCCGCCCAGTG